AAACCTGAAAAAAAAAGCAACTGTCGAAGGCTTGGTTCACACCGCCCTTTCTGGCCACCACCTATGCAATCGCTGTGTGACATGAGTAGACGCTCAGAAACGTGCTTTCAGGATTCTGGCCCAAGCTGCCTGAACCATCGGGCTCGTGGAGACCGTGGTGGTGGTGAAACCATTCCTGCACTAGAGTTCTGGATTGAAGCTCTGGATGTGCGGCGTAGTTTGGGACTTGGGTTTAGCAAGTTTCGGGCTTGGGCGTTAGGTTTCAGCCTGCTTTGGTGATGGTAGCTTCGAAGCTGGACTACACAAAACAAAGCTTTCCAGAACCTCATGATTATGAACACCTTCAAGCTGCATGCACCCTAGGAACCACTCGGATCTCCACAAAGGATAGAAGCCGCCCTGCATTCGTCTTCAAGTTCTGGATCACGAATCGACAACGCCGAAAGCTAAACAAATGGGAAGCCGGCATGGCAGTCTCAGAAAGTAAAAGAGCCGTCTGGGATCCTTTTCAAAGCGCCGACCCTGAACCGTGTTGGACGCCTACACGATTTCAACAGCTCCTCGCAGTCGAAGAGGCCGGAAGAGCTGTTGTGGCGACACCTTCGTTGAAGGATTGGGTCTTTGTTGGTACAAGCTGGGGGCTCAGGCTTTCGGGATCTTCGACATTTTTGGGTAAAGGGCCTTGGGGTGTGCACTCCTTACTCAAAGATCTTTGCGAAGTTCCTGCTCCACTGGCATCTTCTTGGGGGAGTGTCAAGGATTCGTGCGATGAGGTCTGACCTGAAGTGTCTGGTCGGTTTAGGCTTTTGTCGGCCCTGAACTGCTTGTTATTTGCTGATGAGCGACGGCGAGAAGAGTTGCTTCTGACATGGATCGCAGCTGATGCAGTGTTTCCCAAGCTCTACACCCTGAACTCCCAACCCTCACGGTTAAAGGCAAAGTCCCTACAGCAAAACCCCCAGATCGGCAACGGCACTGCCGGGTGGTCGGCGAGGATCGTCCGAGCCTGAGCTGGCCGGAAACAGTTCCGCTTTGGCTGCAATGGGGTTTAGGGGTTTTTTGCCTCCTACTCGGCAAGGACGAGGGTTTAGGCTTTAGGAATTTAGGGTTTAGGAGTTCGATTGGGTGTTCAGTCAGAGGCCTTGGCAGTGGGTTTGTGGTTCAAGGCTCAGGCTTGGCTTGCAGTAGGCTTCAGCCTCGTGGGCAACTTCGGGCGTCTGGACCCTAAACCCGAAACCCTCAAGAACTTGTATGGGTTTTTTCGAGCTATGGGCTCCTCACCGCTTCAGATGGTGGGGTTTTGCCTGGGGCTTCCGGGCTTCGGAGCC